CATGTGAACTTCACATAGTTAAAAATCCCACCACCATATCACATGAATATCATGAGGCCGATGAAAGTCATATGAAAAAAAAGTGTCGGAAAGGCATTAGAAAATTAATCGTTAAACCAACAATCAATACGAAACTAACGATTTTAAATTGGCTCACCACTTTAGTAGCCTATTGGTCCCAAGCAAACGATTAACGTACCCTATTCTAGTTGAAATTCTATTACTACACTATGTTTGTTTTGATTCGCTATGAAAGTTTGACAGATAACATCAGGGGTATGTGGATTCATGCAGAACATGCAGGGGTGAGTGAAATAGCTTGGGACTGCTTGGGACCGTTGTTCTGGTACTGAGTGAGCCAAAAATAATAATGATTTTCTTCGGGACCCAGTGGTCTTAGAGTTACCTCTATGGTTAAACTCTTTCTTGATAATGTTGTGGCCCTGAAAAGGGCCATTTTTCCAACGCGCTCGGCGTAGTTGCCCTTGCGGAGCATACGGTGAATACGACCGACTGAGAACTGCAGCAGCTGGGCATTCCATGACGGCGGCCCAGTATACCGGAGCACTGGCACCAACGCACTCGGCGTAGTTGCCCTTTCGCCCCCAGGCTCTGCTGCCGCTGCTCTGCTTCCGCTGCTCTGGTACTGCTGCTCTGCTGCTCTGCTGCTCTGCTGCTGGGTCGACGATCGGATAGACAATGATGGAACGGGCGACCTTGTTGGACGCTTATATAGTAGAACAGAAAATATCAGAGGTGTCAGATACTCGCATCTGATGTCTCGGTTGGAGAAAGTATAAGAATATAAAAAAATCAATCGATCTTCACCATTTTTAGACAATGGTTTACTTTTAACCATTTTTCAATAGTTTACAGAATGAAATCAATAGTTTTGAAACATTCAGCAAATTGCTAGAAATATTTCCAATCGATTGATGCCATTATCTCATAAATCTATCGAGAGACGGTTGAGTTATTATGGTTCAAAATCTTTTAATTTTTCGTAACGCATCCAAAATGACTGTTTTTACCCCCGTATGTTGCCGAAAGACGTTATCCAACGTCAAAAATATATAATTGTTACAAACCAAATATCGTTTATTTAAATCAATCGCATGAGCGTTTTTTCTGCGTGAAAGTTAGTAGAACGGGGACCGAATACTCGCGGTTTACTCGAGGTTAAGGAAAACAATTTTCAAACAGGTTTGACGTGGACTTGAGATAAGGTATTAAGGGAGTGCAGGGGTGGACTTGAGATAAGGTATTAGGGGGATAAGGTATTGGGGGGAGGGGGTGGGGTTGTGAATTGTCGTTTTAACCTCCGTATAATCAACAATCAATACGAAACTAACGATTTTAAATTGACTCACCACTTTAGTAGCCTATTGGTCCCAAGCAAACGATTAACGTACCCTATTCTAGTTGAAATCCTATTACTACACTATGTTTGTTTTGATTCGCTACACACTACGAAAAACACATGTAAATTTCAGTGCCCTGAGACCGACACATGCAAGCGGCCCTTTTGACATAAGAATCAGTTGAAATGGTTGAGAAAATCAACTCGAACAAACGCACTTTTCATCGAGTTGCATATGTTTCAGTTTCAGGACACTTAATTTTACATGCCATGTTTGTTTACGTTCCATGATTTACGTCAAAGCTGAATTACGTCTCGTGTAAAAATAATAATTTCTAAGTGTGTATGAAAGTTTGACAGATAACATCAGGGGTGTGTGGATTCATGCAGAACATGCAGGGGTGAGTGAAATAGCTTGGGACTGCTTGGGACCGTTGTTCTGGTACTGAGTGAGCCAAAAATAATAATGATTTTCTTCGGGACCCAGTGGTCTTAGAGTTACCTCTATGGTATAATGCTTGAGTTGATGTTTTTCAGTTTTGATTTTGGTTTGTCTTAGCGTAGTAATCCAGTAGGAGAAACTGCTGGTAGGACTTCTTTCACTGATTGGTGGCTACCTGCAGATATGTAAATTGTTGTTCAAGATTCCAGAAGGCAAAATGAAATTTTTTGCAGTCCGTGTACTAAAATAAAATTGAAATCCTTTAATCGCAGTATCCAGCTGCTGCTGCTGCTACTTTTAGGTACTCATCCGATACCGATCGGAAAAACATTCAGTGCAAGGCTAATCTATTCCCGATTCCTTCCTATGCAAAATGCACTTCCAAAATTATATCAGAAAAAAATATCACACGCGAACGTGAAAAAATAAACCGTAAAACCGCTGCTTCGACTAGATTGCATGTATTTGCGTTGTTACCACCATTGGAATCGTTTTCGCACCCAGAATCTGCACTCTGGTTGACCGTGATCTTTTAACAGCTCTCCTATACACGGTTAGAAAAAAGTACTCAAAATTAAGTTATTTTCACTCATCTCGGTACTATAGTGCAGGAACCCAAAAGTAGGTAAAGCGGGTCAAAGTTATTTTCATTTACTTGTGTGCAGTTCGTATGGAATTTTCCACTGGCTTTTTAACCAAAAGTAAGTTAGTTGTACCCAACAGTAGTTAAATATGATTATACTCAACGTTGGGTTCCCACACTTTACTACCTCTGTTGGCTGGTTTTGCTCCTCCGTTATTGACAACATTAGAAGGAGAAAAGGAGACAAACTAGTCAAAAGTAGGTAAAAGTGAACTTTCCGTTGGGTACTTTTTTCTTATCGTGTAGGCAAACGACGTGCCGCGCTTTTCGCTCCCAGTTTATTCGTCGATCGTGGGGAATAACATTGTGGCCTTTTATTAGGCCGGGCGCCCTCTGGTGTGGCGGTTATGTGGCATCATACAACATGTCAAATCATGTGCGCCACATGACATGATGTTTTGACTGTTTTGACATGCTATAGCAGATGCCACACCTCCGTCACATCAGTGGCACCTTTGGCACGGTCGTTCGTTTCGCAAAGCAAAAGCCGCTTGAAACGTCGCAAAAGACCCGTTGAAAAAAACGACAGGCCGCGTGGTTTACGAAATCCACTGAATGATATAATACGCGTTTGCGCACATCTAATCTGCTGAATGATTCTAAAATTGATAGGTTTTCGTTATATTAGCAATTAATTACAAATTATTGCGAAACAGAATATTCCACCTCTGACGGGGCGACATCATTGGTAACGTGGTAACGGTTTTGTTTTCTGGCACTGGCGCGCATTTTAACGCCGGCTGTGGAAGATCGATCAACAGCAACGACAAAACGCGAGAAAGAGATGTGAGCGGTTATTTTGACAAAATTTAATCGACGAATACCTCTCAGTGATGCATGTGCGTCGTGTGTCAAGTGCTGCCAAAACTAGCAAGATTCAAATCTATTAAAATACAGCAAAAAAAATATCAACGCTCGTATCCACCTCATTCATGCTCTCGTTCATGCTGATGTTTCAAATATTAATGTATTGGAAAATAAAGCAGTTAAAATTTTGCAGAAATATTCACTTTTGATTTTCTAGATTTAAACATAGATTGCCCTAATAAACGGGTACCATACTCTAACGATATCATAGATGGTACGACCATCCCACATAAAGTTGGGATGATATCCCGAATTGGTGGTTAGGCGCTTCTTATGGTTATTGTTTATGCGGGTGACCCATACATGTAAATTGGTATTTACATGGAGAAAAGTATTATCCTTTAACAAGAAACGTAAGCGTCAGCAAATACTGTAAAACTGCTGAGGTCAATTCAATTGATTTAAATCACTGAGTCAACACAAATTTAAACCCATTTGTTTATTTTGAAACCCTTAGTTCTGTAACAAATTTTTGTTAACTTTAAAAAAAAAAGTTAATTTTTGGAACAATTTTTTGAGCTAAAAACATGTTAAAGTTCCTTACGGATGAAATGGATTAATTGTTTTCCCGTTAATCGGTTTCCCATTTGCTCGCCCGCATAAACGCGAACCATAACTTGTTCTTACCGAAAATGGATAAAAATTGTTGATAATCCCTGCTAAACTTTAACTGGAATGGTTATGGAACTTTTCATGAACTTTTGTGTGATAAAGTTTTAACCTTATGTATTATGGTTTGTTGGAACTGAATCTTACAAATAATGGGTTGTTAAGAACCATTACCATTCCAAATTCTTGTTTTGTCCATACATTTTCGAAAAATAAATTATATAAAAACCTTTTTATTTATGGTTTGAGAATTTTAATGATTATAGTAGTCAGTAAGGTTCATGGATGGTTTTGTAACATCGATCAACTTTATGTGGAATATATCGCGAATAGGTTGCCTGTAAATTAATGATTACCAATTCGCGATATATTTCACGTAACGTGGACGACAATATAAAACCATCCATGGACCTTACTGACTACCATAACCATTACCATAAAAATTCTCAAACCATAAGTAAAAAGCTTCTAATATAGTTTTCGTTCTGAAAATGTATGGAGAAAACAAGAATTTTGAATGGTTCTTAACAAGCCATTATTTGTATGGCTCAGTTCCAAAAAAAACATAATACATAAGGTTAAAACTTTATCACACAAACGTTCATGTAAAGTTCCATAACCATTTCAGTTAAAGTTTAGCAGAGATTATAAACAATTTTTATCCATTTTCGGTAAGTTTATGCGGGCGCACTTATTCGATTTAGATAGTGTAGCAGTATGCGCCAATTAAACATCAAAAAGCTCTATAGGAGTAAATGAATGGCAGAGTCACCGTCGTAAATATTGTTAATTTTTATGATTTCTTTTTTCGGGGAGTGAACTTTTTTTTATCGGCGAAAATTGGCAACGCTGCAACAGCTCGCATTTTCATCGATTTTATCATTGTTATGAACTGGTGGCACTCCTGTTTAAACGATCTGAAGGATGTCGGCTTGTTATTGACCCGTTGAACCCGACGTCAATCAAACATCAGTCAGCTTGCCTACATAGGACTGGTTACAAAATGTTAACCTGCTTGAAGCATAGCACCAAACGAAAACAACGACTCTTCCTCTCATGCTGCCGGCACCAATCTTACCGCACCGTAGTTTTACCGGTGACCTTCGTTCGTGTTGTACGATTTCGGTGGGTTGTTGACAAAAGTTCAATATTGTTTCCGAAGCTATTGTTCTACACAGTGTGACTACAGTGGACGTTCGGATTATTACGCGTATTCCGCTGATTAGTTTGTGATTAATAGGTTTAGAGGTTAGAGACGCAAACATTTTTCGGGTCGGTTTCCGTATCGGTTGTGATTGATAAACAATTTTCGTATCGGTTGTGTTGGTGAAGTGTAAAAGCCATGTCCTCCGACAACGTGGAGAATTTGGTTCATTCGAACCAGGTCCTGACCTGGCGTCCGGCACCAAAGTGCCCGAAGTGCCACCAGGCCTTCACTTCGAGCTACGGTAAGGATAGTGTTGATGTTGTTTTCTGAATGAAATGGCTAATGAGATTTTATGTTTCTAGTCAAGCAAAGCGTTTCTCGGCGGGCGTTCATTCTGGGATGTGATCATCTTATGTGCGAAAGATGCATTATGGACCAAATGTACACGCCGAATCGTGCAGCCATCTGTCGGATCTGCAACATTCGTACGCCGTTGGATCCGAAGCGCCGTATTTACGAACAGCTTCATTACAGCTACCAAATGATGGGGATTATCTATCAGCGTCAGCACGAGGTTTCCCGGCTGGCTACGGTAGTTGCTGGTCCCTCGGCTCCGGGAGAAACCGTTCCCGTTGAGGAAGAGGAGGACATGGAGTGCTACGAGTGTAATATGACGCGTACGCGCCACTACTGCCAGGAGTGTGATGCTGCATTGTGCAAGGATTGTTTCGAAAAGATCCACCGCGTCGGGAAGATTCTTGCCAAGCATAAGCTGTGCTCGATTACGGCTAAAAAGTGGATGCAGGGCGACATTAGCATCTGCGACCAGCACAAGCTGACGACGGTGCTTTTCTGCACCAGCTGTGAGGTGCGGGTCTGCACCGCATGTCGGGATGAAAGCCATTCGTCCCATTACTGTGCCGATTTGTTGGACATCAACCGGGAGGCCCAGCCGCGGCTGGACCAGCTGCTCAAGGATATGGAGTCGGCGTACGCAATGAACGAGCAAGGAAGAAAGGTGAGTGATGTTTCCCCATTGATCTGGACATTTTTTTGTGGTCGAGTTGAATGTGTAGTGATGGTTGCCTACCCTCCGGGAGGTATAACCTCAAACATGCAATAATTGGCGGTGACTTGAAGCTGGGTGTGGAATTGTTCGCCGAAAAATTACACGTGAGGAAGTGGCAACATGACTCATTGGTGATCTTATTGGAGCAAACGAATTTTAATAGCTTTTTCCTGGTCTCCAGGAAATTCCTTCAGGATCACAATGCACACTGCTCTTTGAAAATAAGTTAAAAAAAAAATCCTGTTAATTCTCCTCTTAGGATGCCTTCAGCCGCCGATTTCTCACAATTAAAAGCTCAAATATTCCCCAAATATTTCTCTACCTGATGGTGTCGTTACTTTGCATGTGTGCACTTTTGTTCGCGAGAAATCGTCGGCTAATGTAGAAATACATATGAAGAATTATCACGCAATTCTTCTTAAACTTACCACAATATTCTCTTGGAACTCTACTCAGAATGCCGTTGAAACTCTCCTTGGAATCCTTCTTAAAATTCCTTTACAACTTTTATGGGAATTAGAAAACTCTCCCTCGGAATTCTTCTCCAATTTGTTTTTAGATTCACCCTCAGAATACGATTCCTTTGATATATTTTTTTCGGAATTCCCTTGAATTTCTTTTCTGAACATCCCTCAGTATTCCTTTGAAATTATCCTCAGGAAACCTTTTTGGAAATCTCTTGAAATTCTAATTTAATTAAAATTCTCCTGCCTCACCAATCCCATGAAATATTCTCAGAATCATCTAATAGGGGTGCCTAGAAAACTAGGCCCTCCCCAGAAAATTTTGAAGATTTTACGAATTTAAATTGTCGATATTGAAATTTGAAAAAATGAAGTGGGCGTGGATTGTAAAATTATTGCCATCATTCTTTTTTCTGCTATTAAGATGCTTAACTTCCTTTTACTCTTTTCTCAAATGCAACGAGATTTGTTGTTCTTAATGACCTATCATGTTTATTTATATGACTGTGAAAAAAATCTTACCATTACAGTGCGAGTGGATACGGGATTTTCGGCTAATTCGAATTAAATAACTGTAAAAGCATTGTATTGTAGTTTTTCTCTTTATTTCGTTTCGGTAAAGTTTCTAATGGTACTTTTCTTGATTTTTATTTCGCAGCTTAATCTACATATTTCGCTTCAAATGTTGCATATGGCTTTCACTCGTCTTATTCCAGTCATTTTGTATTTCTCATTTTCTCTCATACGTTTTATAGCCGTACATTTTGACATTCATTAACCTAAGACTGCAGTCAATCATGTATGTCGGAATCACAAACCACCACAAACTCATTTGCACTCATATTCCCCCAAACTCCCAACTCCCAAGTGCAACTGATAAATTCCCCTGACAAAACACATGAAATCTGTTGTTCTATTTCGCACGCGCACTCACCGCTTATTTGCTACCTTACTGGCGAACCTACAAATATGGGGTAACTAAGTCGATACCTATCCGTTCGACGCTCTCTTCACGATTCTACACCGCTTCGCTCGGCCGATAAAGTAGAAGCAACAAGTGTTAAAAATGATCAAAACAAACCGGTCTTTCTCTCGCAAATTGCAGTACGAACAGCTGACTCACACTAAACAACGACAATAAATTACCCATAACGGGTATCGAGAAGAGATGATAACGACGATGATGAAACCTTACCTATGCGTTTTTAGGAAGAAATTGTGTACATTCAGGCGTGCGATGCGATTTCTATCGGTGCTTAATTCGCGCTTTGAAGGAAACTGCCAATTCGCAAAATGCTAAGCAAATCACCTGACAAAAGCGCACCGCTCGTTTGAACGCATGATTGCGTACTTATTCTACATATTTTTGTTACAGTTAAAGCGAGATAAATTAACGTCCATGTCTACTTATTCTTCGCGAAGCAAATTTATACGAAATGAAACTATAGTTGGTATAAATTAGATTCTAAGGAATGCACTAGTTGCTCGAGGAATGCAGTACGCATGTTCACGGTTTCCAACTCAACCCATGAACTACGCGTTTTCACAGTCTCTGGATAATAAGCAAAATTCTCGAACGTGGAGAATCTTCCAGAAATTGTTAGCATTAACATCTGATACGTTCAATTAGGTTAGGAAAACTTAAGCAGAAAACTATTCACAGAAATTGCAATCATAGGAGCGCGGTTATCGTCCTGGTCTACTTCCGTCTTTCTTCGCCGTAGTCGTGGTGGTTTGGCGATAGATGGCCACTGGTTCCATCGTGCTTCACTTCGATCCGCACCTCCCGCAGGGCTTGCATCACACCCTGTGGTGGCCGTGCCGAAGTTGTATGTTTCGATCCGTACTGTGGTGGCGGGATAGACTCCGCTATCACCGTGACCGGGACCGCCGGATTTTCTTCTTCCGCTCCGGTAGAACTCGCCGGAGCACTCGGAGCCGTTACCACGATCGGAGCACTTTGCGGTGTGTTCACACTCGCGTCAGGCCCGGTGTCCGATGCCGCTTCTATTCCGGAGCTCTCCGCCCGGTCATACTCGGCGTTGATGTCCTCGAGGGTGATCGGCGTCGTGGCGGAAGCTCCAGCTGCGCTGGGGGCCGTCACTTCAATGGCGTTCTCCGTTACGTACTGCACCGGATAGGGTTGGTTCTGGTTGTACCGGTTGTCGTTGTCTTCCAGCTTGTTGCCGTTCAGTTCGTCGTTTTCGTTCTCCGGGCTCGGTTTGACCACGGCTTTACCCTTGGATCGTTGCTTTTTCATCTTTTCCTCCATCTCTTGGAATTTGATTGCGAGGTATCTGCGGCGGGAAAAGGAATGGAACAATGGAAGGTTTGTGAATAAAGGGGATTAACTTTACAATAAATTTTTCGAAAATAGTAAGATTAGTAAAACCAACCGGGAAATGAAATTCTACAGTTTTGTACTAAGCCAACGGTGTTGATCTCCAAAGTTCTGTCTAAAACGATTAAATAAAGCGAGACCATGCCAACTGACGAGAGTGACAAAGGTCATTGATAGCCCTGGAACTAAATCTAATCTAATCTAATTTTAACAAAAACTAGTCATGCGGCATATCCAAATTTTCAGAATTTCATGGACATGTCATTAGAGACCATGTCAAATGACCAAGGCTGGTAGCGAGTCACTTTTTAGTGACTTGGTCAATTTTTTCAAGCCAGTCACTAAAAAGTCTCCTTTTTGAGGGCTAAGTCACTAAAGTCACTTTTTCTTGTAATCAGTCACTATTTTCAACTTTTTTAGAGTGAATTTATTTCAAGATTGATCATTCCTTGTGTTGTGATGTTTAATAGTCTTTCTCTATATATGCACAGAGCGTCTACTAATTTTTTAAATAAAATTTCCTGAGTTTTTCCAGAGCTTTAATAGATAAGAAAGCTATTTTTAAATGCGTTCAAAATATGCTTTTTTGGAAAATCAAAAACAACAGCAATTAACTCAAATGTTTTTAAGACATGGCAATCAGTTTTATATAAACAGCTTTACAATCAAATCCATTGTTTATCGTTTATTGTTTATTGTTTATCAGTCAACAGGTCAAATGTTTACCCCAATGACACTTGTTCTACAACTAAATACAAAACTAACGAATAACATAAATTAACATAAAACTCGTTTAAAACTACGCTTGTTTGTTTCTCGTGACACATTGAAATCGTACACATAATAACACCGGTTGAATACACGGGACATGCTTGGCAAAGGTTCGTGTAAGCCATAATTAGTTCTTGCCGGAGGGATGGTGATAAACGAGTGCGACCGAAGATTGCGACGACGTGTGTTGATGTCCAAGAGACTAAGAAGCGTAGGACTGTCAATGTTGCCTTGCAGAAGATCCCCAACAAAGCGCGCTTTTGCCACGTTGCGTCTTGTTTCTAGTAATTCCAGATTTATAAGTAGACAACGGCTTTCATAACTGGGCAGGTTGAATGGATCTCTCCACCTAAGATGACGTAGAGCGAACCGGACGAATTTTCGCTGAACAGCTTCGATGCGTTGAATTTCATTCTGGTAATAAGGAGACCAGACGATAGACGAATACTCCAAGATAGGGCGCACAATTGAGCAGTATAAAGTTTTAGGCAGTAAACGTCCTTGAACTTTTGTAAAGCGAAATAAAAATCCTAGTTGCGATGAGGCTTTAGAAACAACGTACACGACGTGATCCTTGAAGGTTAATTTTGTATCAATCAGAATCCCCAGGTCCTTGACTGTCGAATCACGTTGTAGATTCACGCCTCCCAAAGCATAGCTAAAATGGGAGAGTGATTGCTTGCGGCCAAATGAAATAACCGAACATTTGGACACGTTCAGCGACATTCGATTAATATGACACCATTCAGCGAAAGATAGGTTGAATACTCTTGCTAGTGGTGTTGCAAGTGTATTCGCGCAGTATTTGAGGACAAGCGATGGAATCCCATCCGGACCACATCCCGTGGAGGATTTTAAATCCTTTCCGGCTTATGTAACCATATCGTTCGTGATCACGAACTGTAGCCCAGAGGCCGAAAGTCGAGGAACATTTCTGGTGGCGACGGCTACATCCTGCGGGTCGATGTGTTCATTAATTGATTGATTTATCTTTATTAGGGAGGCTTTCAGCCTGGGGCTGGTTCGCCTCCAAGCATGTGTGTTCATTAGTGAAAACATTGCTGAATTGAGAACGGAACAGGTCGGCGATGTCAGTGGTGGAATCAGCTTCGAACAATCCGTTGGTCATCGTAGAGGGCAGTCCGGATTACATCCGTTGGTCATTGACGTAACGCCAAAAACTTCTGGGATTTGTCTTGAAGCGTCTTTGCAGATGGTCCTGATATGCGTTGTACAAACGATTATTAAGTTGGTTGTATTTAGTGCTCGCCGCCATATATCTCGTTCTCGTGGAGTCCGTGCGATACTTGCTATGTCGTCTGAGAGCTGCCCGCTTCACAGTCTTAAGATGCTTGAGGTCAGCATTTGACCTGGCTGGCTTAGCCGGCACAGGATACCAGATATGGTCGACGCAGCGAGGTTGGCATCACAATTTTGAAGCACCTCGTCCCAATCGACATGTGCGAGGAACTCGTTCATGCTGTTGAAGTCAGCCTTTCTGAAATCATAGGCGATGCTTTCAGAGGTATCTTGGAAGTGTTGCTGTGGACTTATCTTGAATTCCATCAGTACAGGAGGATGATGCCTACAGATTTTAACGAGCGGTGATGGAGCTTGCATAACTGTGCTGTGCTCGCAAAGTTCCTCACTGCGAAGCATAGATCAAGTGTACGATTGTTTGCATTTGCAATTCCACTCATTTGTCTGAGTCCAGTGGTGCTATACGCATCAAACAGCTTCCGTGATGCCAGGCTAATCGAGGATCGTGATGTAATCGGGTACAGGGAACCATGTGGACTACGCTGTCAAGAGATCGAGCTCAAGTTGAAATCGCCTATGATGATAACGTTGTCTCTTGGTTCTAACTGCGAAACCACCCAGTTAAGCGAATCGATATGCTTTTCGATCAAAGATTCATCGTTTACTCGATCAGGGGGAATATACACAACGCATAGGTAGAGTGTTGCATCGACAGTGGCAATTGCGATCCATATTTGCTCAACCGCCGAGCAATCAGGAGGGTCGAGCGTACGGGATTTAAAACTCGAGCGAACAGCCAGCAAAACACCACCTCCAGTGCTTTTGTTGCCATTCGAAGGCGACCAGTCTTGTCGATAAACGGAATATGATTAGCCAAACAACTGATTCGTTGAGGTATGTCCATTGAGCCAGGTTTCGGAAAGTGCGTAAACATCATAGGAACCGTCGCTGAAGGCCAATTGGTACTCGGCGAGAGAGCTGTTGATCTCACCAACATTTTGGTAGTACATTAGGACATTCGAAGAAGCAGGTGCAGCAATACTTGCTAGAGGCGCAGTCCTAGGGATTGAAGATTTGTCAGAGCGGGGATTGCCGTTACTAATAGGATACTTGCCATGATAGGCAGCTTGGAAGACCCCATCGCCAACGCTAGACTCAGGGCCGGGACGACTTGGATGGCAGGAACGAGAGAACTGCGACAGGTTTTCGATGATGGCTAAAGGCGCGACTGAGCTAGGCGGGTCAGGGGCTTCCGTACTGCTTTGTGTCAGGCGTCCCAGGTTCGATGGCGGTGATCTTGGTTGCGTTGGAGAATGGTGTGAAGACGAAGCGTAGAAAAGTGGTGGAGGACTAAGTGTCGGTGTATTGTAGCCAATAGTGTCCTCGACGAGACGGAAACGGAATGCCGATCAGGTAGTGGAAGAGCAGGCTGGAGGACCTCAACTGCAGACTCGACAACAGGACCGCGACGACTAAGATGATCGCTGGAAGCAAGAGACGGGACTGTGTCGGGCTGAGAAGAGACCTCTAAAGTGCTATCTAACATGCGTCGCGGGGTCCTTAGTCCATTATGGCTTGCTCCGTTAGTCAATCGTCGTGTTTCGTTGTCAGTTGATTTTTCCGGAAATTTGCGGTGGTCGATCGTTGATCCAGTAGAACCAACAGAAAGCATCAGTTTTTTGACAAATTCCCGGAAACGGATACCATTGAATGTTTTGAAGTTAAGCACTTGCTTAATTTCTCACTTAAATAGTTTAAAAAAAAAACGCACTTAATTTGAGTAAGTCCAAGATTTAAAAATATTCAATGTCTTGAAGTTTGGTATTCCAAGTACAAGTTCAAGATATTGACAAATTTCAAAGTGCCTGAATTAAGGAAAACAAATTAATGATTTATTTCAAGTTCGTTATTAACTTTATGAAAGATTAGAGATCTTCATTGCAGTTCCATTAACTTCTTCTTCTGAGGAATTAAAGGAAATGCTGAGAATTTCCGTGAAGCTTCATAAACAAACTGCGGGAACATAAGGGAAGTTAACACACTGAAAATATGGGGAACTTACTTAAATCCTCTAATCGGTTCTTTTAACAGCCGAAAAACTTTTATAAAGTCCCTAGAATTTCAGAGCACATAATAGGTGTAAAGGAAACTTGATAATTTAGGGTATTGTGCAATTTTTTAACAAGTTCTAAGCACCTCAAAAAAGCTAGATCTAGAGATCTTTGGGGAACTTCCCATCTTAAGAGCAGTTCCCGTAACTTTAGTCCAGACTTTTGGGGCAGTTAAAAGATCTATAATCGTAAATTTAGAAAAATTGAGAACTCTTAAGATGTTCCGAGAATTTCAGGGAAGTACAGAGACCATCAGAGAATTTATGAAAACTTCAGAAATATTTCAGGAACTTCACAGACCTCCAGAGAATTTCTGGGAAATTTATCTTCAATAGAGTTGAGAGCTTTAAGGAAGCTTCGAGAACATCAAGACGGATCAGAGAATCAAAGGGTAGTTCAAATAATTTCATGGGAATTGTAGAATCCTCCGGATACTTCAGCAAACCTCCGAGAGAATTTCTGGGACGTGATAAAAATTATATGAACATCCGGAAAACGTGAGAGTATTTTAGGGGTGTTCTATCATGGAGATTTCAAGAACTTTAAAAAATGCGAAAATTTAGCTAAGTTGATTAGAGAATATCAACGAAGTACCATTAATTTAAAAAAAAATGTGATAACTTTTAGCAAGCAGCGATATCTTCAAGAAATTCCAGCGAACTTTTAATAAATTTAGATAGTTTCATGATATTCAGCAAAGTTCTGAGTACTTCGAGGACGATCAGATAGCTTCAGAATAATCCTATTAACCTAAGCAAATTTGCAGCAACTTACAAGGAATTCCGTGGAATTATGGGGTATTCCAAGAATTCTA